CAATTTGATCCAACACGTAATATTGTATTTCTGGTTAGAGGACATTGAACTTTCAACTGCAACTTTCTCAACTTTCAACTTTTGTCCGCTACGGCGCCTCATAGCTTTTGAGTTAGTTCTGTTTATGCATCCTAACTAATTCACGACCAAACACCGTCTAGGAGCTGAGAATGGCATACTGATGCGTTGTCGTTATCTGGAGTCTACGATTATGTCTGTTATTGTTCATTCTTGTTGGAATTATCCAAATTAAGGCTCATGTGAATATATATATATATATATATATATATATATATATATATATATATATATATATATATCTTGTTTATTACTTCAGTGAATAATTCGTAATTATTGATTATCAATAGCACGAGAGGTATAGTCGCACATACCTGTGAAAGTTATGATGATTTTCTAGTCACATATGGTAATGTTAGACATGTATTACACATCTTGACCCACACAGGCATGGTACTTGGGATTTGGGTCTGTAATCAATATAAAGATAAACATATGTTTCTAAAGAACTCTGACTTTGTCTTTATTTTGTTTTAATTTTCATGAAATTGGATATTTAATGCTCTGCACCCCTGGTATAGAAAGACCAATCTGTTTTGTATAAGGGGAAAACATCCAGTGCCATAGCTTAGTGAAGTTTATAACTTATAGGGAATCTGCTTTTTTATTGTGTGCAGCTTTCTTACTGAGTAACAATGTAACATGCTAGAAATAACGTTGTATGTATTTAAACAAGTTGAAAAAGTACTGTACATACTTTAGGTCACATAGATTAAATATGCATGTCCACTTCTTTAATGATCTTCAATTTCTAAAAGCCGATAAATAATACACTTAAAATAAAATCTTCTATCATTGCAAGTGTTGATGTATCAAGTTTCAAATAAATGGGAAATTAACATAATATAAAATCGTATTTATATGTATGACGTTTTGACAAAGTCAGCAAATAATAAAAATCGCTGATGTCATCTGCATCTTTGATTTGTTTTTGTTATGTCGGGCAAAAGCTCATTAGAGCTTATAAGGAAACGTTATCTTAAATCATTCCAAACGTTAAGTAAATTTTGTCTTGTCTCGTCTCATCTGATCTCGTCTCATCTTAACTGACCTAGCCTTGCCTGACCTGACCTGGTCTGATGTGATCTGATCTTGGAATCATGATTACAGGATTTCCGATTGATTTTAGAGCCATTACATTTCTTTAGCAATTACGTTACACTTTTACTGCTATATTATAATTTTATTATTGCTAAATTATAATTTTACTATTAACGATAGCAGGCATTATTGAAGCCGAAATGTTTTTGTGGCTACGTCTAAGGTTATTCCTCTAAGATCGAAAGAATACGTAACAATAAATTTAGAACCATTTATATGCAGTATAGCAAAAGCGTATAAATTGATGATATGAAATTGTCCCATTATGTCACGATTTCTTGGTAGCTTTGCAAACTGCTAGTCACTGAAAAGTTATCATCCACCGTGCAAAAGCGCTGTCAGATCCATTGACCTTCAGACCTATCTAGCTGCTAATTTCCTATTTACGTATTCAGACCCCGTGACCTCTCTGAAGCGTCTTCTCTTGGAAACCTAGGATGAACTAAATACATCCGTTATATATGTTACAACACTATGATTCCCGACGATCAAGCTTGAAAATGGGGATTCATAACAATCGATCTAACTGTTAATGTGACAGTAATTCCTCTGGAATTAATTGGAATATAGGGCGTAAAACTATTCCAAAGAATTTACATTATACTGTATTATTTGTTTTTAGATGGTGTACGGTTTATTATTTGCGTGTTACCTTCGCTTACAAACAAAAACTTGTCACCCTACGTGACCGGGGTTGATCTCCACGTGAATTTATTGGATTTCATCCTGGGGCAGACCAACAAGATGTTCTCCGCCTTCACTGACAAGACAGGTGGTACCACTAGTAATACAAAAATACGATGAAGAGCGTCCTGTCAGTGAAATCAGTAAGTATAGTTTGCGACAGAAAGTCAATAGGGGTCCAGATGCAATGCATCCATTTAAACACTGGAACGGTGTATCAAACCTGATTTAAGGGAATCTTTTATTAATGTGATACAAATTTTACCATGTCTACACACATATCCCCGCCCTAACAAGTGATGCATATATATATATATATATATATATATATATATATATATATATATATATATATATATATATATATATATATATATATATATATATATATATATAAAATTTCATAAGCTTTAATCTTTTATCAGGTTTGTGTTTGTGTTTTACTTAGGGCATCCATTTAGGTCAAATCCTGTTCCAGAATCCACAGGAGCCTGCCATTTTATCAATAAAGCACGACGAAATTTCTGACTACATGAAAACACAGTAATGGTATTATAAAATAATATTTTATAATATCGTTAATGTGATTTCATGCAGTCAGAAATTTCGTCGTGCTTTATTGATAAAACTGCAGACTCCTGTGCAGAATCTCAGCACAAAAATAAATTTCTTGATACAGTTAAAACATGAACGGGGCAGACATCTAAGTAGATATCTTATTCTAATGTTTTATTTCGATGTTCATTTCGATAGATGCACAAATACACAGTCTGAAGAACAGACATAAATATAATGTTTGCCATAAAACAAAATTATTCGTTCTAATTACAGATTGTAGATACCTTAAACACTCGTATAAATAAGTTTGCTCCAAGAAAATGACTTAAAAACTGTTGAGTGGTCCATGTTAGGATAAGCCGCTTCCTTCAAGTTCACCAGCTTTGACGGAAACATCGTCACGAAATTACAAGTGGTAATATGAAGGGATGGGGCAGATAAATTTGCCTGTATATTTTATACGGTTAGCATGTTCTATTCAACCATTTTGTTTAGTTTGCCTTTTTCTCATTCGTAATAAAAGAAATTAACATGTCTGAAAGTATGTCTCCTATCCATTATTGTCATGAAACATGAGGAACCTTACCTTCTGCATACATACATACATACATACATACATACATACATACATACATACATACATACATACATACATACATACATACATACATACATACATACATACATACATACATACATACATACATACATACATACATACATACATACATACCAATGTGTTACATGGTTCAAATGAATATTTTTTGTAATACTGGCTAATAGGCTTTGTCAAATAGGCACGAGCTACACTTACTGACCATTAAGAGGACAAAAAACAAGTTTCGAATGTTAATTGCCACTTAGATATCTAAAGACGGAGTTATTTTCAGCGTTCAGACTAAAGTTTTCGTGTATCTGGAAACGTGTTAAAATGCATTTACTTTGGAAAAAAAACATTGAGTATAGTTTGTTAATTCTACATCTTCACTTTAGTTAAAACAAATTTTCCATATTTCTCCTAAAGGAAAAACTATTATAAAAAGGAATAAGATGGGAGATGCGATTTTTGATTCATAGAATTGCCAAATAATGACTTTAAAATATATAAATTCGTGAATAAAAAAGCAACATGGCGCTTCTGTTTTAACGACGAATTCATTTTGTACAACGACCCACGTAAATATTATTACTGTTTGAAGAGGTTATTTAGTATTTTACCAAAAAAAATTACCGTGCTGGATCTTAATTCGCTATTCGTTACTCTCCTCCTAGCTAAATAACAGTCCACCAACCGCTTAGGGGCTAGTGGACAGTTTTTATGTACAAATTTAATGCCACAAACAGCGACCTAATATAAAAAAATCATAAGAAAAATCAAATACACAGGTGAGGTCAAAGAGGTCCATATTTTTGGATACGCATATTTAAACAAAGCATAGGAATAGTATCCATTTGACCAGAGAAATCAATAGCAGTTCATAGCAGAAGAAACTTATGCACCCCAACCCCAAATTTATACCTGCATTTTTCATGTCTGAAGGTCATCTTTTGGCATGGTGTGATACTAACAGTGCAAACACAAGACATTTTCCTAGATAAGAGTTCTGCAAAACAGTGTGTACTAAATAGACTGATGTAATTGAAAATAGTTGTCACCTAAAACGCTTTTAAGATATTCTACTTGCCCCACGCCCATTTGTTTACTGTTATCGGAGGCTAGCTCTTCTTCCTAGCCGACTATTGATATTTAAGTATCAACATACTGCAGAGTAACTATAGAAGGTGAACATGCCTGACATCAGTTTGAAGAACAATACAATCCCAAAACACCTGGTTCAAAACACATCCGTTTATTTAAATTTTAAATAATAAATGCTGAAAAAGTCACACCATAACCTTAAGTTAAGAAATTTGCCAGGGGCCAATTTACGAAACTGGACCTTGCCACCTTATTAGTTTGCTGTTTCTCCGTCTGAATTACAACACAGTGTCCTTTTAAGGCATAGGCACGCGAGGCACGTGCCTATGGGTCGGGTGTGGGGAAGGGGGCACAACGGCCCAAAAATAAAATTTCGGTGTCGGTTGTGTTAGCAGTTTAGTGTTTGTGCCTAGGACCGCAAACTTCTTAAAACGGTTCTGTTACAAGGATAATTGTTTCATTGGCAAATGTTCAAACTAAATATATGTATATGTAACAATGTGAATTTTGCGTGTGTCAGTGTTTGCGAAGGAGTGGATAGTAATATGATTCCCCAATAGTTATGCTGATTTTGTTATCGTTATGTAGAAGATACTGACGACGATGATGTTTGCCCAGATCAAGCAAGCAATAACACAAAGTACAAACTTGAGGGTTTGTGTGATTAGGACTTTTAATATTGATTTCAGTCATATCACTACGACGTCTGCAGTGTGGCAATTTATAGTGATTCTAGCACTTTGGTATCATGCCACAGACGTTGCTTGATATCCCACACAGTCACATTATCCTGACGCTAAGCCGACCAGTCCTAATACTAACATCTTAACGCTGAGCGCCAAGTGATACAGCTGCTAGTACATTTTGATAAGTCTTGGCATGACTCTGCCGGGGTTCGAACTCACCACCACCTGCATCTAAGGCGAACGCTCTAACCACTAGGCCACCAGAGTCGTAAATATGAATGTAATTGATGGAATAACGGATCAGGACAAAGAAATAGAATAAAACACTAGCCCCCGTATATAAAATATAACATATTTACAAAAACAAAATGAAATTGAACAGGAAGTGAAATGTACACTTTCCCTAAAAAAAAATACAATTTAAAAAAACTAAACGAAATGCTACTGGCTGTTAAGTCAAATTCCGCCTTATCATAACTTGACAAACAAGGCTAATATGGTCAGTTTGCAACCTAATTCTGATATACAGTCTTAATAACGTAACATTAATATCTTTATATCGGCTACTCGCATTCCTAACCGGAACCATGACTTCACTATGCCTCATAGTTAAACTATTATGTCCCGCTGTGGGTTGTATAACTCGTCGATTTCTTGGTTAAGATACTTCGCTACTTAATAACACAGATGAATTAATGGACCTTACCTCTTGTCCTAGCTACTCGATTTGCTATCTAATGATTCATTGATATAAAGTAAATTCACTTTATTTCGTACATTGTTACATATCATTGAGACAGAAAATTAATTTCTCCCAATTTTCAGATTATTGCGTGATATTTCTACAATACATGTTTTCTATTACACACAAACCACTAAATTTAATCAAGTCATATGAAATAAATATTGTATGACATTCCTGCAATACAAGAATTGTATAAGATTCAAGACAATGAATATATGATTAACTTCTGAATCCTAGAAAAATTGAAGTCTCTCAAATTCTTCCAGACTTCCTCCAATGGAAGATTTATTTAACGAGTTAAAACTTTGCATAGATTGGTTTATTAATGGAAGCTGGAAACATGTGAACGTTTTCAACTCAGGAGTGTTAATAATATCAGTTAGATTAACCTAATTCAGAATGGACAAATTTAGTAGTCTGTGGCTGGTTTCCCAATCGTAATCATGTCATAAAAATTGCTAACACCGCAAAAGCTTGTTAGTCTAAGGTTTTGAGTTCGGTAAAAAAAAAATGCTGGGCTCCGGTGTTAGTAAGAAGTATTCACTCGTAACGATTGTGCAAAATATGTGTAACAGGGATTCTTGAGAGACACATAACCACGGATGTCAAGAGACGTTTATGCCAAAAAAATAGGAAAAGAATAGCGAACTTCAAAGCAATGCAGTTTCTTAATGCCATTGATTATTTTCTGTTGATATGAGTCTCGAGATAATTTTTTAAATTTATTATTTATTTAAATGCTTAAAATTGATTATTAGATTTATAAGATGTTCATGTTTATCGTCATTGTTAGATCAAATAATATTGTAGTTATAAGGACGAGACGTGAGTTTCCTTTGATCTATTTGTATTACTAAGATGTGATGTAATTTAACCTATGAATCGGGATATAGGGCTATTTATTGCTGGCCGTTTGCATGCATGCTCCCGACATTAAGCAAGGGCTCAATTGTCGCTAACGTAGACTGTGTTATCGATCAAATGATGACGATGACTAGTTATGTTAGAAATACATTCAGTTTCCTATAATTTTTTAACGTCCATGGAAAGATATGTTTAAAAAATATGACATGAAATGCAAAATTGTGACCTGTGTTACGCATATGTGATTAAATTGCTTGAGTGTAAGGTTTAAAATTATTTTCATTTCATTTTGGTTTCATTGTATTTAATTGCAATGAATATTTTTCTCAGATTCGGGATTCTATTTTTAGCACAAAGTTTGTTTTTTCAAGACAAAGATGTAATACGTGAGAATTGACATTTAGTCCGTCTTACCTAAGTAAAAATATCAACAAGAAGTTAAAATGATTAGTCGGCATCACGGACATAATTTCTTCGCGTTATCACTGTTTGTAAACAGTCTTTTTCATGACTGGTTTTCTTAAGTGGAGTGACAATACCTACGAGTGATTTTTAGCGTAGTAAGAGACCACGTGAAAAATCTCGCGAGATTTGAAGTGATTTTTTTAAGTTTAAATACGCACTCCATATATTTTTTCGAAGAGAGTCATTCAAAACCTTGAATGAATAAGGTGTATTAATTCTGATTTGTTGCCAGAATATTTTATTCTTCGTCTGATTTTTGGATTTAATAATTTATTCTCCTGGACACACAAGTTGAATTTCTGATCGAAAAATTCTGAAAGATATTCATGGAAGTTTATTCTGGAATTATTCCGAAAAAAGATTATGATTCAAGTGAACAATGGTTGATATTCATACATTGGACTACATATGACGTCATCGCCCTCCATATTCGTACGTCGTCGGGACTTGAACCTGGATTCTCAAGGGACTATTTAGTGATAGGACTTGTGTTTTTATTCTTATAATCATATTTCGATTATATTCACAAACTGCAAGTCCTATTTACCAATATTTAAATTGTTGTCTAGGGAAATAATTGTTTTGTTAAAATGTACAAAGCTTGTTGACTTTCACTCTTTTCTTTGTTACTGAGTACGAGCCCTTGTCACGTAACAAAAAAATTGGGACGCTCGTCCTTGGATTTATGAATTTTGGTTAAATATTTCAGAAATTTCTTTTTGAAATTTAAATTTCACTAGTTTATAAATCGCAAGTACTATTTTACATTTTTATTTGAAATCTTAAGTGAAAACAGCAGGCTTTCATTTACAATGTCATCAAAAGTGGAAAGTTTTCTTTCTAATCCAACTGAACAGCAGTTAGATAGTCTTAAGAAAGATGGGTTGCTTGAACTTGCCAGAAAGTACGATCTTTCTGAAGCAAAATCTTCCTTAACAATACGAGAAAATAAAAATATTTTTATCGAATATTTAGTTGGGAAAAGTGTTTTTGATAAAAAGTGTTTTGGCATCAGTCAGTCAGTCTATGACAGACACGGACATTAAAGTAATGGAAATGAAAATGGAAGTAGAGTTAAGGAGGCTTGAGCTTCAATAAAAAGAGAAACAAATGCAGCTGAAAGAGAAACAATTGCAATTACAATTTGAGAGAGAGAGAGAGAAACCGGAGAATTTGAGAAAGATAAATGATTACAATTTTTAAAAAAGGAGAGAGACAGACAGATGCAATTACAAAGAGAGAAGGATGAAAGGGAATTTCAACTTAGAATGAAAAAAATTAGAGCTGGCAAATTACAAGCACGATTCCACTTACATACAGATTCAAGTTTTGACATTACAAAAAATATCAGGCTAGTTCCCCCTTTTAGTGAAAAGGAAGTAGACAAATATTTTGTTTAGTTTGAAAAAGTTCGTGAAAATTTGAAATGGCCAAGGGAGCATCGGACTCCATTATTGCAATGTGTACTTTTCGGCAAAGCTCGAAATAGTATGCGTTAGTCGCTGAGGCTTATCGGCAAAAAATCAGAAACTGTAAAAAAGAAGCTGGACAGACTTATGTCAAATTTGCTAGAGAAAAAGAACAGTTATTTAAGAGATGGTGCTTAGCCAAGAAAGTTGAACATAATTATGAATGTCTCGAACAACTTGTGTTGCTTGAAGAATTCAAAAATTATGTTATTAATGATATTAAGAATCATCTTGAAGAGCATAAGATTGAAACCTTGGAAAATGCTGTTTCTGCTGCCGATGAGTACTCCTTAACTCATAAAGTTCCTGTTGTAAGCAAAACATTCACTCAGCAGTCTACTGTTAGGAAGGTATTTCAGCCTAAATAGTAAAACTCTCAGTAAAAATCAATCTGGCACAAATTCTAAAAATCAAGCCTCAGACTTGATTCCATATCCTTGTCTCTGCCTATGTGTGCCTATTGCAAGAAAAAAGGACACGTCATTTCTGATTGCTTCAAACTGAAATATAGGCATCAGAATCAATATAAACCTATCCTAAATGCTCTTGTTTGTAGGAGGTTAAGGTCACGATCATGTATTGAAAGCAATACATTTGTTGGGTCTAATAAACTCAAGTCTAATTATATTATAGAGAATTATTAACCATTCATGTCGAAGGGTTCTATATCACTCTTGTGTGTTTCGGTCAATCATTTCCCTATTAAATTTTTTTGGGATACAGGATCTTCTCTGAGTCTTTTAGTGTCAGGTGTTTTGCTTTCTTCTGAGAAGTCTTGTCCTAATGAGTATTCTTAGTCGGGGAGTAGAGTGCGGCTTTGTTAGTGTTCCTCTCCATTCTGTAAATTTGTCATCAGACTTAGCTTCACGACCTGTGACAGTTGGCATAGTGTATAACCTACCCGTTGGGAGCATTCATTTGTTGCTAGGCAACGACCTAGCTAGAGACAAGGTTTTGGTTAATCCACTTGTAACTGACAAGCCTTCTTTGGATTAGAAACTTGATCCAATTGAAAAAGAATACCCTGAGCTAAAACCAGCTTGTGCAGTTACAAGAGCTATGTCAAAGAAAGCTCTTGAGAATGAGTTTCATAAGGAAGATACTCCTTTAGCTGACACATGTACTGGTCAGGCTTTTGATGAGGTTACTTTCACTTCTAATTTGGATCAATCGGGTGTTATTGATCACAGTGATCCTCTTTTAAATACTCATTCTCTTTTATCTAATCAGGGTGATAAACAACAATCACTTGTCGTCGAACAGGAAAACAATCCTGAGATCTCCTGTTTGTTTCAGAGGGCCGTTATTGAAACTGAAGCAATTAAAGTACCTGTTTATTACTTCATTAAAAATGGAATTCTTGTGAGAAAATGGAGACCTCCAGAGGTACATGCTAATGACAAATGGTCAGTGAACTATCAGACTGTAGTTCCAAAATCATACAGACAGGAAATACTTACTTTGGCCCATGAAACTCCTCTGGCTGATCACTTAGGGATAAATAAAACTTATAAGAAGATCTTAACTCACTTAACTACATCACGTAGGAAAAAGCGTAGACTAAATATAAATTTACAAAGAAAGGCTTCGAGCTGATTCTAGAAGAAATTCGCTTGCAGAAAATCATCCAGGGAAAGAAATTGCCTGGGAAAATTGACAGACACATTCTGGATGTAAGAGCTTGAAAAAACAAGGTATTTGCAACAATTGCAAGTAATTCATTGA